TTTTGGACATCTCAGGCAAGTACATAGTCTTCTACAAATCTTCTCAATTAATTTCTATAAAGAATATATAGATGATAATAATATTTCATTGTAAAAAATTATTTAAGTGGATTTTGATAGGAATCTGCCTGAACATCCAGTTTACTTCTAGGCCTCTTATCAACCAGTTAAGCCACTCATCACTACCCAGGAGTCCATATTTATCCTTATCTTGGATCGGTATTCTCTCCACAAAAAGTAGATGACCCTGTGTACGACCCAAATTTCATTTTTGAGCCTTTGACCTACATTTTTCTCACAACATGTCATGGAAATTTGGGCATTTCTACTTAATGTAGGCCATCACTATTTCCAAACTTCTAAAAGTCATTCCAGCAACATATTAAAACTGGCCATACTAGTGTATAATTCCCTTGGAACAGGTCCTGTGGAAGAAGAGATTTGTCTTGTAAGGCTCTGTTGAGGTCCCTGATGATTTCAGGCAAGTAGAGCAGGAAGTTACTCTTTAATAAGAAGGAAATACCATTTATAGGCATCCAGAGAATTCAGCACATTCTGAGACTTCAAGGTTCAGGTGCCTCTTCCCATATATCTCCATCTAACTTAGCATCCCACTTTGTTTCTCTCAGGGCCCTGGCTTTGATGTTGGGGATTTGGTAGGGCTCAGAACACAACCATCTCTTAAGTTGTAAAGTTCTGCTAATCTTACACTGAGATCCTGAAATTTGCTTTGAATTTGTGATTGACCACCATAGCTTTCATTTTCTTTCTTCAAAGCATCAATGAAGTAGAAGCACTAATGGAATTCTTATACAAGTGGCTTATTGAAGGTATGCTCCCAGGAGAAAGGGAGTGAGAGAAGTATTAGAATAGCGCAGAGGAAGGAGCTAAGCAAGGATATGACCTCAACTGAAGTCCAACTTCTTCTGCCTGATACTTCAGAGAGCTGTGAAGTATAAATTGTGCCAAATATTTTTCTCATATGGAGGCAAAAGGTTCTTCCATATCTCTTGTCAGTCAGGCATGGCTACTTGTGGTAGTGGAGGGGAGTACATAATCTTCCAAGTGAGGGAACTCTCAAGTAGCTCAGGGTAATTCTTTAGAGAAGATAACAGCTGGCCAGGTATGTGTGGTGGCTCATGCCTGTAATCCCAGTACTTTGGGAGGCTGAGGTGGGTGGATCACTTGAGGACAGGAATTTGAGACCAGCCTGGCCAATATGGTGAAACTCCATCTCTACTGAAAAAATACAAAAATTAGCCAGGTGTGGTAGCAGGCATCTGCAATCTCAGCTACTCAGAGGCTAAGGCAGAATTGCTTGAACCCAGGAGGCAGAGGTTGTAGTAAGCCATGATCACACCACTGCAACTCCAGCCTGGTGACAGAGTAAGACTCTCTCTCAAAAAAAAAAAAAAAAAAAAAAAAAAAAAAAAAAAAAAAAAAAAAAAAGAAAAAGAAACAAACAAACAAAAACAGAAGACAGCAGCTATGAGTGGTTTGCAGCCAATACTTTATAGGAGGAGGTGGGGATTGGGTGCACTGGCCCATTAAAGGAGATCTAGGCAGGGCACAAACACCATCTGCTACTATGATAATTTATTAATACTCATCCACAGGTTCATATTCCTGTATACGGACTCTTCTTAGGAGAAAGTATAATTAAGAAGGGCCATAGATAAAACATAACTGATTTAAGAATTTTAGAGGTCACCTTTTGCTTTTTTGTTTAGAGTTATTGGGTTTTTAAGTACAATAGAGATTAAGTTTTTGGATCTAGCCAGTTTTATCTTTTAGCCACGTAATATATACAAAGAAGACAAGAGAAAAATAGTGTTTCATTTATCTTAGCTGCATAATAAACAACCCCCACCCCCAAATTTAGAGTCTATAAACAACCATTTAGCTCATGATTCTGTACATTGGCAATTTGGGCTTTGTTCAGCTGGGTGGTTTTTCTGCTGGTCTCACCTAGGCTTGTCTATTAGGTACCATCAGTTTACAGGATGGCTATGGGCTGGTTAATCTAGGATAGCCTTGCTTCCATCTCTGGTGGTTGGTGCCTGCTGACAGTTGGTGCTGGCCATTAGCTGGGGTGATAGGAGTGATGTTTCCCAGGCTTACTCACATGTTGGAAGTCACAGAAGCACTAAGCACTAAGGGTTTCCCTGGAGCACTAAGAAAGAGCAAGCTCCAATATGCAAGCACTCTCCAGAACTCTGTTTATGCCATGATTGGTATCGTCCCATTGGCCAAACCAAGTCACATGGCCAATCCCAGAGAAAATGTGGGAGAGCATTACCCAGTAATATGGATATTGGGAGGCAACAGGCTACCACAAAGAGTGGCAGACTTATTTACCATATCGGGTAAGAGCTCCTTGTTTTGGTAGTGACAAAAGATGTGTTTGGCAAAATGTGCATGAAATAAATCTGATTTTACCACTTTCTTTAGAGAAAATAATCACTTTTCTATTATTTATGTTTTAGGTTCAACATTTGTTGGATTTAAGAATGTTTGTTCAGGGGAAACTAATGTTATATTTATTACTAACCCTTTAAATGAGGATTTACAACATCCAATCCATGTGAAGAATATAAAACTGGTTGATACTACTGAACAATCAAAAATATTTATACATAGGCCTGATATAAGGTAAAATACATAAAATAAAATAAATAAAATAAAATAAAATAAAAATTAACTGCGAGTGGTGGTGTGTACCTGCGGTCCCAGCTACTCAGAAGGCTGAGGCAGGAGGCGTGCTTGAGCCCAGGAGGTTGAGGCTGCAGTCAGCTATTATCACACCACTGCACTCCAGCTTGGGCAACAGAGACCCTGTCTCAAAAAAAAAGTAGGTACCTCTTCAGACAAATGCAGTATTTCATAAATAGTTTGACGTCATCTGAATTTGCTTTGCTGACAGCCCAATACTTATTCCTTTAATTATTGTTGAACTTCAGTTGAACAATCAATCAACACTTTAGATAATTCAGGATGAGGCCAAAATACCATCTACATTTGAACTGCATGATAAGGTTATCTTATCTCTTATTTTTATCTATAAAAGAGTTACTAAAATATGTAGCATAATAAATACAATCCAAGTATAGTCTTATATCCATAAACAAAGGTCTATAAGGATATACACTAAACTGCAATCGGTGATGAGCCTAAAGGCTTAGAATAGGAAGGTGAAAGAGATTGGGCTTTTAATAAGTCTTTAGGTTATTTTATAGTAAGCAATACTTTCATAATTTTTAAAGACAAGAAGGAAGGGAAATAATGATAAAGACTTCCCTCCCAACAACATGGATTTTATATGTCCTGTACAACAATAATCATTCACCTACTCTCTGGAGCAATGTTAGTATACTTTGAACACTGCACAAATAAGAAATCTGTCATTCAACAATAGATAGAATAGAAAACTGGAATTCTGATTTTATATCCCACAGGTATGACTTGTCCTTTTAAAGTGTTAACGAACTCATAATCATAGACCAAAACAACTCAATGAAAAAGGAGACCTCATTACAATGCTAATTACATAGGCTACTTGGTCCCGCTTTGAAACCTCTCTGAAATAAAATTCAATAGATCAATTTTTTTGATACCCTCTTAGCAAATATTCAAGTATATTCATATTGCTCTCTAGAAACAATGAACTGAATCATTCAACTTTTCTCCACAGTAAGGTCAATCCATCTGATTGTGTGGACATGGTTTGTGATGCCAAAAGGAAATCTTTTCTTAGAGACATAGATGGCTCCTTTCTGGGGAATGCTGGTTTTGTGATACCTCAAGCAGAATATGAATGGGATGGAAACAGCCAACTAGGAATTGGAGACTACAGAATCCCTAAGGTGATGCTCACATTCTTGAATGGAAGTAAAATTCCTGTCACTGAGAAAGCACCTCATAAAGGTTTGTTGGATATTATTCTGTTGTTAGGCCTTAAGCTCATGAAACAAAGTATGTGTTTGTTTTTAATGACTTATGTACTCAACCAATAACTTATATTTTCTACTTCTTAAACTTGCATAACAAGAAAAAGATATTATGAGGATTTTGTTTTTACAAACAGATTCTGTATTATTGATAAAATGTATATACATATGTTTCTAGGAATTATTAGAGATTCAACCTGTAAGTACATTCCGCAGTGGCAGAGCTATCAGTGCTTTGGGATGGAATATGCATTGATGGTTATTGAAAGTCTGGATCCTGACACAGAAACTCGAAGAATTTCCCCAGTGGCTATAATGGGCAATGGTTATGTAGATCTCCTTAATGGTAGGTATTTAATAAGTGTAAACTAGAGTTCTTAAAAACATTCACTTGTTATTAGATGCATGAAGCCATCTCATGGCTCACACCTGTAATCCCAGAACTTTGGGAGGCCGAGGTGGGCAGATCACCTGAGGTCGGGAGTTCATGATCAGCTTGACCAATATGGAGAAACCCCATCTCAACTAAAAATACAAAATTAGCTGGGCCTGTAATCCCAGCTACCCAAGAGGCTGAGGCAGGAGAATCGCTTGAACCCAGAAGGTGGAGGTTGCGGTGAGCCGAGATTCACCGTTGCACGCCAGCCTGGGCAACAAGAGTGAAACTCCATCTCATAAAAAATAAAAATAAAAAATAAAAATTAAAAAAAATGAGCAATGTGCAGGAGAAAGACTTGATGTTGCAGTATCTCATCCAGGAAAGCAAGAACAGTTATTTAAAATTGGTCATTGGCCATTGAAATAAAAGGAAGAAGGAGGGGAAGAGGGATGGAGAGGAAAGCAAGAAGGAGACAAGATATTTGTGGAGCGATCTTCATACCTTTATTGATAAGGTGGTATAAATATTTTGAAGAAAAAATGGGTCCAAGTATCTCCAAAACATACAATTTGCCTAATGTATATTATAAGTTGATAATGTGTTATTTGGAATACTTGACAAGCAGTATTCTCAGTATGTTCATTTTTATTCTCATGAATCTTTGGAAGACTTACCTTGCCATCAACGTGTTTTCATTTCTGATTCCTTTGATTGTCAAGACCAATCTGGTCAAGCTCCAGAGTCAGGTTTCTTCCATTCTGGTCTTAGGAGGAGGCTATAGCAGAGAAGGAAGGTAATGGTCTCCATGAGGATGCAGACTAGCTTAGGACAACAATCCTTTTGGAATGACTAAGATGAATTTCTAAAAGGTACTGAAAACACAGGACAGGGATTCATTGTATATCCCTGAAATGACACCAGGGGCTCAAAACTTCATCCCTAAACAGGATTAGATTTCTTTTATGTGCTGAAAGTGCACATAGCTTGGATTAGTTGGATTTCTGTGCCCTTGTAGTGTCATATCATGTACTAAAATATTCTAGAATTCAATAAAATAGCTATATCCAACAAAATTATAAATGCTTTAAAAACTTATGATGGGGAGGAAGGCAGCAGATCACACTGCCACGTGTGTGCCTATGCAACAATCTTGCATGTTCTTCACATGTACCCCCAAACCTAAAGTGCAATGAAATTTAAAAAAAAAAAAAAAACTTGTTTATAAGAATAGAATGAACTAAATCAGGAGTATTCCAAAGTTTCATAATTTTAGGGCTCTCTTCACTTCTCCCACCACAGTGTGTGCTATGCCTGGTTTCTGTGACCTGTGGTCAACCCAATTTCAGATGCTGCTTTTTGGATTTTACAAAGCAGAGATCATGAGAACAATTTTAAAACTGTCAATGAATAATGGAGTAATTGAGGCAATGTTTTCAAATTGCTCTGTTTTATACGGTGGAGAAAGCTTTCATGGTTTTATTTTTTTATTTCTCTTTTCTGGCAAGCATAAAAGTTTTCCATTTACAGTAGTGACAAGACATATTTCTTCAATATGAATTTAAATTTTAAAAAGTGAATATCAATTTAAAGAAGTCTTATGTAAATGATAGCAGCACAGAAAAATCATGAAGGTATTAGAAGAATCACTGAAGCTTGGGATGCACTATACTAGATGGGGAAAAAATTCCTCAAGATAAAAGTTACAGAATACTACTGAAGTTTTCTTTTGAATATTAATATTAAGAATGACTTTTTGTCACTTTAAATATTTATGTTATATTAAATTTATGTTATATTTATGTTATATTTAAATATTTATGTTATACATAGATATTTCTTTATGTTTGTTTTCAAAACCCACAAAGAAGGTGTATTTAAAAGTAGGATTTATATTTTATATGCTAAGGAAAAGGTTAGGCTCTATATAGCTTTAGAAGTTTATATTGTTTTAAAATTTGATTGAAGTTTATTTATAAATATTGATAATGCTTCCATGTAAGCTAGGAAATTCAGCAAACCTAATGAATAAATACATCAATAAAATTCATCTTTCCATATTTCACTCAATGTTTATGTATGTATAATCTCGGCCACTTTAAAACTAAGTGAAATAGAGAAGTTTTTTATGAAAGTCATTTTAAACCTGCTCAGAAAATGTTTGGATTCAGGTAGAAAAGCATTCATTATCTCTTGGCTTTCTAGAGGGTTTGATAGAGTGTTATTTCTTAGGTGGCTTCAGTTCATTAACGAAGTCAACACTCTAATAGTACCTGTAGTCACAGTCTTCAATAAAAATTTCTTAAATTAAAATTAAAATGGAGGAAGATTAATGACTTGATTAGACAAATGTGTTTGTTGAATTTATAAATTAACTAATTTTTAAAAATGAGTGAAAAAACAAACTATGAATCAATGGTTCAGACATTCAAATGTCCATGTTTTCCAGGTACAGAGCCTATTGTTAACAAATTAACTCTGTTGCAGCACATTTCCTAACAAAGAGCCTGAGAAACTTCATATCCCACTCAAGCTTATATTTGGTAGAGAGGAGAAATGATCAAGCATTTTCTTCCTCACCATGTGGCCGAGGCTTGAATATTATCATTAAAGTCAAGATAGATGCAAATCAATTTCTCTCAGTGACCTTCCAGTACAAATTCTTATTAACATATTAACGTACCCTTCTTACCCTGGCCAGTGTAAAAGTAAGAATGATAGGAATAAGTTTCTTCCCTTCCTTCCCTTTTGAGCCAAGATTTGAGAAATAGCTTAGCTAGCTGGGTAACAGTGGATAGGTAATAAGTATAAATGCTGAACTTGCATTTGAATCTGATCACTGTAATTTATTTTTAATACAATTAAGTTTCATATATTATACTAATGCATGCTACTGGAACATGTGCTTTCATTTTGCATGAATTTAGGCCCACAGGATCATGGCTGGTGTGCTGGATATACATGCCAGAGAAGGCTGTCCCTGTTTCACAGTATTGTGGCCCTGAACAAATCTTATGAAATTTACTTCACTGGCACTAGTCCACAGAATCTTCGACTGATGTTGCTTAATGTTGACCATAACAAGGTAGGGCAGGATGTCTTAAGAGTTATAACTGTTGATTATTTGCATATTATCTCTATCTGCTAAAACTAGTATCTCCTACCCTGTTCTCTCTCACATTGTCAGCCTTACAGCTCATTTCCAAGGATGCATCAGGGTATCACTGAAATTATTATTAACCTGGACAGTTTCCATCAGCCTGAAGATAAAAGTACCAAGCATCACCACCATCCCCTTGCCAGATGCACTTGATTCTGGTGCTCCTTACTTGAGGCATGACAGTGATGCCTATGATTTGCATGATTAGAAAGCAAACCTGAATTTTTACATAAAAATAGGGTACATCCAAAACTGATCACTTGGAATTATATACTTATTCTTCCATGCTGCTATGATACATTATATATGTTATATATGTCTGAAGTACACTTTTGGAATGCAGAGATTGCAGCATTTTATTTTAAATATCTTCAATAATGTCAAGTCTTTGCTAGAAACTGAACTCAGCCAGGATCGTTAAATTTATATATAATGGGAAAAGAGTATGAGTTGAAGCAGCAATGTCATAATTTAGATTTTCTCTTGTCTAAGAATATGAGACTTCAAACTCCCAGGGCGTTTTAATGTGAAGAAAGGATGCTGATAGGTGAAACAGAGAAAGGAGTAAGGAAAGGAGGTGCCTGCCCCTTTCCAGGCGGCAGCAGTTCCATCCCTTCGCTCCACACAAAACCTTGGAACCACTCTTGACTCCTCTCTTTTGCTCACATTTCTCATCCAATCCATGTGCAAATTCTTTTGAGTTCCTCTTCAAAATACCAGAATCTGCCCACTTCTCACCACCTCCACTGCTACTGTCCTGGTTGAGCCTTTCCTGGACCATGGTAATTGCCTCCCAATTCCTCTCTTTATTTCCACCTATGCCCTTCTAAAGTCTATTCTCAACTTAGTAGCCAGATACCTTGAGAATATGTTAGATCACATCTCTTCCATGCCCCAAACGCTGTAACAATTTCCCTATTGGTCTCTGTCAAAGTCAGAATCCTCACCATGGCCTGCGAGGCCCTATGGGAATCTCTCCCATCCCTGAACTCTGGCTTCTTCTATTCTTCCAGCCCCACTCAGCTCCTTGCTGTTCCTAAGGACACCAAACATGCTACCCCCTGGGCCTATGTTTCTGATGTTGCCTCAGCCTAAAACATTCTACTCTAAGTGGCTAAAGTTTCCATCTTCTCAGATTTCACTTTCTCAATAGGCCTCTAAGATCACCCCCCTTTGCTTGGCTCTCCCAAGTTACTTGTACCCTGATTTACCTTTTTTTTTTCCATGGGAGTCATCACCATTTAACATGTTTTATACTTTACCTTTTATTATTTCTACTATTTTTTTTAATCTTTTCTCACTCTTGAATATAAGCTCAAAAAAGGCAGTGGCTCTTACCAGCACTTAGAATATTGGATGGCTAAAATAGAAACTCAATTTTTCTTTTTCAAAAAATTAGAAGAGAATATTCTAACTCTAAAAATGAGAATGGTGACTACAAACTAATGTGACTGTTAATATTCTGAGCCTCTGAAGACAATATCAAAAGAAGATTCCAAAACTATGTATAGCTTATTAAACTCTATTAATCCTTCCCTGCTCTTGGAAAACCAGTCTCTTTATGATCATAGCTGATAACATGAAATGTAAGCAATATAAACATGGAAAATGAATAAAATTGAATCAGAGAGGACAGTTGGTTTGACTGAGTTTTATTAGTCTTTCTACCAAATTTTTCTCAGAGACAAGCAATTTTTCCCCTAACCTTAAGTATCTAATTTTGTGTGGTTACATTATGCAGAGCACTGCTAAGTCCCCTTTCCCTGCTCCTGGTATTGAAAGCCTGTTTTGTACTTTGTTGTCTTTTAAATGAGCCATTTTTTAAAACTTAGAGATACTCCTCTAATAATTTCTCTGATTATACTTTTCTACTGACAATCGTCAATTAGGGGTTGAGTTGTACTATCTGTATGAATGGTTGAATGTAAGCTCGTTTTAAAAATTTAGTTCATCACTTATCCCAAATCCATAAAACTTAGTTTTAATATTTCGCAGAAAGAATACATAATTGAAGGACAGTTTAAGTGCTAAATTCTAGATATTCTACTTTGTTGCTTTCTTAAAACAAAACTACCTTTTTTCTTAAATAGGCTGTTCTAGTAGGAATTTTCTTTTCCACACTTCAACGTTTGGATGTCTATGTGAACAACTCATTGGTCTGTCCAAAAAATACAATATGGAATGCCCAGCAGAAACACTGTGAACTTAATACACTTCTGTACAAAGGTATTTTCTCAGCAAAGAGCAGTACACATGGTTGTGTACTTATTTATAACATTTTAAATGTCTTATTATTAATGTTGTTAATTTCTTATCTATTGATGACACAAAAGAAAATAAGTTTTTAGCCACAGTCCACCAAATACTAAGAGGTGTTTCTTTGTAACATGAGCGTCCTGAAAGATCACTCCAGATGGAACTTTCTTATCTGTGTACATGCATATATGAGTTTTTGTTTATCATGGACATTTTTTGCTTCCTAAGAAAGCTTTCATTCTACATACATTGAGATCAGTCATTCCTATGTCCAGAAGAGATTTTGCTTAAAATTTTCACCTTATCTTGGCTTTACTTCTATTTCATAGAGGTTAGAGCCTAAATTAATTGGCAGTCATAAGAATTATTGCTAAGAAAGCTAGTATAACATCAACTAAAGGCTGTGAAGTAAATATGATAAAAATTAACTCTTGATTTAAATGAAACATATGGAAGAGAATAAACTTATTCATTAACTGATATTTGTAAAACCAGGATTTATCTCTGCTTATGTAAGTCTTTTTGTTGAACAGGGTTCTAATGAGGCCAATAGTAAACATTCCATTTCACATGGCTACTTATCCTCATATTTTGATGTGATCCACAATCTTACCTAACCATTATATGGCTGTGTGTAGTAGATCATAATATAAGCTAGACTTGAGAGTATGAAT